CGTGCTGCGGGGGGGGGGGGAACAGAATCACCCATGAGCAGCAGAAATGGATTTTATTCAAAATTGGGGACTTTGCGTGGCTGATCCTTGGTCCACAGTTGCCTGTTCCTGAGCCTGGCAGCTGCCTGCAGTGCAGTACTTACAGAGATGTTTGCATGGAGCTTGATGAGAAAATGCTTCCTCTTGAAACTCAGTTTACGAATTTTGGACCAGTTGAATGTGTTGATCTTTGTATTGCCCTGCAAGGACAGACACAACAGTTAAAGCAGGACGGGGTAAATCAGAATTACAGAAGTATGATGGGCCAAGTCCTGAGCTTGCAGGACACTGCACGAAACCCCGATGCATCTCTCACTGCTGCTGGGGTCTGAGGAAGGAGTGCCAGGATTTGGTGGCTGACCCTCCTCGCCATCAGTTGGTCCCAAAAATGGGAATTGAGATTCAGGGCTTAACTCTGCCCACTGAAGCTATTTGTAAAACTGCAGGATCCCAAGACAAACCTCAGAGGTGAATGCAGAGCATCCATCCATCCCAGCTCACGAGCCAGGTGAGTTAATGCAACATCAGCCCCTCAAAATAAATAAGACCCTCGTCTCCTTTGCTGGGAAGCATAGTAGAGCTCAGCTCACTCCCATGCCTTTAGACCCAGTTTAAGCAGTCTGCAAGCGTACCTTACCCCTCATTATCATTACGCATCAATTTAGACGCAGCCACACAACACAGGTGTCACAGCAGGACCAGGTAAAATTGTGTTACTCCATGCTGTGGCGCCGAGACCCTCTCAGATTTCTGGAAGAGCCCAGATTTTAATGGGCTCACAGATGCTCTAACTGTGTGTGAGGGGTGTTTATGGCTCTGAATAAATAACTGGGTCTGGCAGCACCAATTATGAACAGCAGACGCACAGTTAGGATTTTTTTTTTCCCCTGCTCTGGCAAGATGTTCCCAGGTTGAAATTAGCCAGTGTGGGAGGCAAGCACTGCTTCACGCCGGCTGCGAGGAAGTCTGTATTTATTCTGCAGTTACGCCGTGATTACAGCGTTATGTAATTGCACAGACGTGAGGTGGCTATTTTCGCTGGAAGATTATACAGTGAACACATGTGACACAGTCGTGTAACCGGTGATGCTTACACGGCCACGCTCACCATGACAAGGGCCAACAGAGCCGGGGCAGGCACGGTGGTGAGCAGCCGGCGCTGATGGAGATGGTGGGGCCAAGCCCCGCAGCGGTGCCCCGGAGCATCACCTCTGCACCCGAGGTCCGTAGGATTTGGGAGGGTTTGGAGCATGCAGTGGGGAGGAGAAGGGTAAAAAAAAACGAGCCCCAGGCTCACCCGCAGGACCAGCACCCCCATGTGCGTCACGGCCAGGTTGATCTGCGTCCCCTCGCCATCACTGGCGGGGTGCGGACGAATCCCGTACATGTCCAGCTTCCTGGCCACATCCAGCAGCTGAACATCCGACTCAGCTGGCGTCTTCCCGCTGGAGACACAAACACACCGGCAAGCAACAAGAGTGAGAAGGCAGCCACTGAAACAGGCTGAGAAAATGCCATTTTGGATGTGCACGTGCTGGCATCACACCCACCCCACTGCCGGCCCTGCCTGCTGATGGGAACGAGCCCGTTGGCAGGTGCCCATCGGGTGCTTTGGGTGGGCGGCCATGGTGCAGAGCAGCCCTTACCTGTGTCTTCGGTGGTAGTGCATGATCTTGTTGTCCAGGTACTCCTGGTTGGGCAGGTACCTGTGGGTCTCCAAGTGCTGCTGGTCCGTCTCTTCATGGAAGTCGCCCAGCTCGGCTGCGGGGGACATAGGGAGAGCAGGGTTAGGCTGTGAGGGGTCACTGCAGGGGGGAACCCCTGGCTACACAGCCAAAGCAAAGCCCCGTTGGGCCCCCCCCTCCCCAGGGAAGGGGCACCGTCCCCGCGGGCACTCGCCTGCCCTTACACTGCAGCAGGTGGGAGACAAGCAGCGCCGCGCTCTTGTCGCTGCAGGGCAGCCGCCCCAGTGCCAGGTCCTTCTTGATCTGGAGGGTGAAGAGGTACCTGTGGAGGGGGACAGGAGCATGCCCTGGGGTGGGGCCGGGCTCAGAAGAGAGCCTGGTGCTGGGCTGAGCCCCGAGGGCTCTGCTGCAGGGGGGCTGTCTGCCCCCGTGCCTCTCCCTGCGCTCGCCCATGTTTCAGCCCAAGGGATGCAGGTCTGTGGGGTCACAAGAGGCGCATGCAGCCCCCGCAGAAGGCTGCAGCTGGGCACCACCATGACCAGTATAACCCTGCCATTGAAATGCCCATTAGTAGGTTTCAGAGTTAACATTCCTTTATGCTTTGGAGGGCATTTGCATCTCTCGGGGCTAATGTTCTGCAGAAGCACTGTCTTAGTTTTATTCTTAGTTCCTGTTTGCAATGCTTTCTCTAAAACGTAAGAGCTAACAATGTCATTTTTAAAAATAAAATTAAAGTTCTTCTTTCAGAACACAGCTTGAGGCAGGAGCTAGACTGAGCAAAGTCACACTCGGTGCCCAACTGTTAAAGTGTTTGGCAGTAAACAAATTGCAGCCTCTTAAGACGGCTGATCCTTCAAGTGGATTTTGTTTATAAAACAGAGGATCAAAAAAGACACTCTCAATTTTTGCTTTGTAAAGTACAGAACTCTTTCAATACTTAGGATAACCACTGCTGACAGACAGGTTCGGGTGGATGGAGATAAGGAATTAAGTGCATGCTTCACAATTGCAAAAATATAGGACTGTGGGGTAAGAAAGTAACAGAACAAGTACTGTACCTGGTCAGCTCTTCTCTCAGATGGCCGGGGTCCACTGGGAAAAATTTCACCATAAATTTGAAAAGAACCTCCTTAGGATCTTAAAACACAACATCTTCATAAGTTTTCTTTTACGTGTCTATTGAGAACATTTACAACTCTCTTCACACATGCTGTCTCCTTACAGAATAAATTACTCTGGACCCTTACAAATCAGGACTGGAAGCCCTGAGCATCAGGGACTCCAGCCTGCCCCCAACGACCAGCCTGCCCAGACCCCCAGCATTACCAACGGAAGTGAACAGGGAGCTGGGTGCCTAAATAATACTAAAGAGAAAATGCCCCAGCAATTATTTAAATTGCAAAGACCCCTGCCAGGAGGGGGGGTTCCGTGGAGTGGTGCCACGGGTGCTTGTCTGGAGTGCGGCCATCAGGAGGGCTGTACATTAAATCCAGCCCTCCAAGCACTTGGGATGCAACAGCTCCATAGGACGCTGTTTGGGCAAAGCTTTTTTGTGGGATGAGTGAGAGCAAGCAGCCAAGCCGAAGGCAAAGAGCATGGAGGGAGGCAGTTTTGTAGGCACTGACTGTCCCAGGACACCGTGGGACAGCTCAGGGGCTCCTGGAGGGACAGGGTTCTGCAAGAGCAGGCCAGAAGGGACATGCAAAAACAAATTGGTGCTTGAAATAATCCCATTTCTGGTGCACCCAGAAAGGGGGGGCTCTTTATCAGGCCTTCCCCTTACAGGGAAATTTATGCAAACACTGTACTGCAGCCTCCCCATGGCAAATACTGGGGTCGTGGCTTCATGCTCTTGACCACCTCCTGGTCATCACATATTTGGGGAAAGTAACATCTGGTTCATTGCGGGAGTGGAAACAGGCATAGGCTGAAAGGGGCACTGTGTTAACACTGGTTGTGGCTATGGCAGGGGATGCTGAGACTGAATTCAGGTCAGGCTCCGCAGCATCTCTGTGCAGCAGCACGGGAGGGCTGGGGGCTGGAGAGGAGCGGCAGAGCCTGCGAGGCGCACGGCTAACCCTGCTTCACGCAGGGCTCGTGCCGCGCAGGCGTCTGGGCTGCTAAGAGCTGCAAAGGGGAAAGGAGGGCATGCAGGGAGCGATGCCTGCCGCTCTGCCAGCACAGCAATGCGCGCACACGCACGCACGCAGCCGCCCCTGCTCCTCCGCCAAGCTGTCAGGTTATTAACAGCTCAAGCCTAAAATGGTGCAGATACCAGATTGCAAAGGCAGCGGTATTTCTACAGGATTTTATATGGACTGTGGTGTCTTTGCAGACAATCCTGCCCAGCCTCGCACTATAAAATGAGCTCAGGTAAATGCTGGAAACCAGAGCCCCCGTCCCCAAACAATAACACCGCACAAATGTGTCTGCGCTAGTCTGCCACTGGCAGTGATTTAGAAGAATTTTATTCTTTAAATACTTACTTTTGACTTGCTTTGTTATGGGTTTTAGTGGTTCCAACCAGACCTGAAATAAGGCAATGAAGAACTGGGTGAAAAAATGGCACAAGAGACAGGGAATAAAAGCAGCAGCAGCATGCTAGAATGCAACACAAAAATGTTGGCCAGCTTGGCTGCTGCAGCAGGCTGTCCCGCTGGGCAGCCCCGCACAGATGGCTACGGATAAACCCCATGAGCCGTGGCTATCACTGGGGCTTTGCCAACCAGCTTGTGCCTCCCCTCGTTAACTCCCATTTTCAAGGTTTTTTTGGCATCGTGGCAAAACTTTCTGTTGATATTTTCCATCTGGTATTTCAGGGAGGTGCTAGCAAGCCCCCAGCCATACGGGCAGTTGCTGGGAGGATGTGGCATGGTGCAGCATGGGGGCCCCGTGCCGCCAGACGCACTCACGTGGTTCCCAGCCTGGCTGCGAAATTCCAGCCCAAAGTACTCCTTCTCCGCAAGGTTGAGGTGGCTACAGGTGAGGTTGAACAGCCCTTTTCCGCAGGATTTTTGCTAGCAAACAAACACACCATGGAAGCAGCGGGTTAGGCAACGCCAACAGCAGCTGTGATGGGATTTCAGTGAGATGCAGGAGAAGTTTTAGCTCCCTGCCTTCACCCTGAGAGGAGCTGTGGGATTTTTCCTGACCATGCTGCAGCAAAACCTTACTCAATAAATTCTGTTGGCTTCAGCATGTGGGACAGGACAACAGCATGCTGCATGCCTCTTACCTCTGCTCTTGGAAATCAGATTCCTTCTCATCACTTCTCTCCTTTATTAAGGAATGTAAACCAGAAAGGAAAGGAAGAGGAAAGAAATCTTGCTTTTGGCTCACCTTTTGCAACCGTTGCTGTCCAGGCAGCTCTATCCCTGGCAAACCAGTGAGCGATCCCTGGGATGAGCATCCACCTGAACCAGGGATGGCTGTGGCAAATGTGCTTGATTAAGAGCAAACGGGAGCACACCTCAAACCTGCACAGTGAGCCTGTGTGCCCCAACAGCTGGCAACCGGATTGCCGGGGACGAGCTACTGTTATGGTTAATGGTAATTAACAGCAACAGGACCCTGCACAGATCCTGTGCCTTGGGCCCTGGGTCATCTGTGCACTTTAGCAGTATTAATTAAGTGGCACTACATGCTGATGAGGGAGACCAGGCTGTAGTTATTCCCAGTAAACAGCAATACTTGGAGGGTGTTTTGCTTGACTTGTTGCCGTGCTGTGTGACACAGCTGGGGAACAACCCGGGAGGCCCCTGACTTTGGAAAATGCTCCAGAAAGCACCAGAAATGGACCTGGCAGTGACCCACCCCAGCAAAAACCCCGCTACTCCTTTATCAACTCGTGAAAAGCAGACCAAAAATGAGCGTGGGTTAGTGCAGAGAGCGTGGCCAGAGCAGAGAGGCCGCTGCTAAATTACAGCATTTCGGGTGATGGAGGTGAAGGCAGGCTGCAGCTCCCCGTGCCAGCGGTTGCTCCCATCAGGGGCGGGAGGGACCCCGGCTGCTGGTGGTGATGCACACTAATAACCACCTTTCACGGCTTCTCCTGGGATGAAATTGCTGGCTCCGTGCTGAAAGGCTGCTGAAAAGTGATAGCATAATAACAGCATTCGCTCTGCAGCGCTCCCGGTTCTCCTCGAAATTACTAGATCACCAGGGTAATTAAAACAATTATAAATGTTTATTTCCAAGCTAGAATTTTCTAGCATGAAAGGCCTTGGCCTTTGTCAGGCAGCCAGGAAAGACCAGCATTTCTTACCGGGTTATTACGCACCACATCTGCTGGGAGCGACCCGCTCTCCGCCAAGCCCAGCACTGCCCAGGGCAGTGGAGAGGAGCAGCTCCATCCCCAGGAAAACCTGCTCACCGGGGAGACGCAGCCCTGTGATGCAGGGGATGGTTTAAAAGCAGAGGCTTTCCTCTTGCAGAGTGATGCTTGCAGGTGCCCCATCCTGGGTTTGTGGGGCACCGAGGCCCCGACCTGTGCTGCTGCAAGCACCAGGGTATGGTTGTGCCTGGGACAGCATCAGGCAAGAGCAGGGGTCTGTGCTGGAGGAGCACAGTGCGAGGCAGAAGTGTGACATGTGGGTCTGGGCACCCCACATCCGACCCTAAATGTGCCTTCAATGATGCTGCAGGGCCAGGCTAGCACCCACAGGCAGAAAACCCTGTGTACAAGGCGGTGGAAAGGAGAGGCTGAGCTTGCCCCTCCTCTCCACGGTAAAGGAGCTGGGACTGTAAGCAGGGTAAGAAAGCAAGAGGCACATCCAGAGGAAGACAGCAACATGTGTGAGAGATGGGGATGTGCACACCCGTCCCCAAAAGACACCCTGGCAGCACTTGCACTCCAATGGCAAAGCCACGTTTCTGCAGTGTTCCCTGTAGCACAGGCTGCTGCAGCCAGGTCTGTGGTTTAGTGGGGAGCGACAGCTCGTGGGATTTGGTGTGATCTTTCCCCACCGCCCTGGGAGATGTCCCCCGGTCGGTGCCTTCTGCATGGCGCAGCTGGCATGCAATGCCATGCATCAAAAGCCACCAGCCTTGACGCTCCCCGTGCCCTTGCTGGACCAGCTCGCGTGCAGCCAGCTCTGCACACCCCCCGTCAATGAATTCCCACCTTTACTCATCATAAGGCACATGAGACCACAGAAGACCTTGTCCTTCGCTCAGACCCAGCAATTAGTTCTTGTTTGGTGTGCCTTTCCTTTCTTTTTTTCCTTCCCACTGAATCTTGCCCTGTAGCAGATTCCACTAGCAGAGATGCCCAGGCTTTGTCTGCCCAGGCTGCAAAGTGGTTCGCCCTTTCTGTGATGCTCTGGGAGGGCTCCCGAGGCTGCCCAGGCTCAGGGCTGCTTTGTTTAAACCCTTTCCAGGAAGAAGAGGAGTGACTTTATGGGCAAGAGCACATGCCAGGTCACAGCTCTAGGTATCCGGTGGGGTGGGGAAGGGAGAAGGGAGGCAGCTTTGCAATATCTCCTCTCAGTGCAAGAAACCCATTAAAGGCTGACCTGCGACTATCCCTGCACCCAGTCACTGGGGCAGGGGATCCCAGTGCCCTCCCAGTGCAAGGCGCAGGGCTCGCTGGCATGGCTGGCAGCATCCCAGCAAG